TGCCAACCTTACGAAGAGTTGCCTGAAAATGTGTCAGAGTTCTTGAAAGTGTTATCTGAAAGGATGGATGATATTCATCATCAAGTGTGTTCGAATTTAAAAACGTCTGCTGATTCCATGAAGCTATGTTATGATAAGAAATCTACTGAAGTCAGCTTTGTACCAGGAGAAAAGGTGTGGTTATATAATCCCAGGAAGACCAAAGGGAAGTCTCCTAAGTTGTCTTCTCCATGGGAAGGCTCATATGACGTGACTTTCCGAATAAAATTTGGTCGGCGAACTCAGCGAACAATATAACAAATGACGCCGCTGAAGGCGCTTCACCTGAAAAAGCCACTGTCGAAGAAGAAACTCTACCCGGTTTTGAGAAGGGAAACGGTGAAGCCCTTGATGAAGTTACTACCACTGATGTGACTGTTACCGATAATAGGACATTTCCTGATGGAGCAGATGAACCCCACGTGAAGCAGAAGCCAACGAGACGGAGACAAGTACGGAAGAAGATACGCCCCGTACGATAAAAAAAACGTATTTTTAACGAAATTAGACTATAATACTGGAAATCGTGTTCATTATTTCAAAATGTTTATCGATTAACGATACAGGTGGGAGTGGATACAGTATTTTATATTCATTATAATATTTAGTGCGATTATTGTTTTTCAATCCAAGATCACTATGTTGGACAGCAGAGGGAAGATTGAGTACTTGAATATTTTTATTAAAATTATTATGGTGTGTACGTCTTTTACAAGCCGATTAGAATTTGACTTGACGTTAGGCCTATTACAGTGTTTAAAAATGTAATAGGTCTAACACTAATGTCCTGTGACAAGTAAAATTTAAAATCATTGTTACCAAATTGCGGCATCATAAGTATAAACACTTCGAGTCCTTATTGTTAATAGGTTCGTTTTGAGTTTACTTACTGATTAAGTACATTTTATTACAAGTTACAACTTTTACAATAAGTAAGATTTGTTTTTATAACACATACGTTTCGATCACTGATGCTCATGTACTTGAGAATGATCGCACCAGTGATCTCATCATACCTGTTCTAAAAACAAATCTTACTTACTGTAAAAGCTCTAACTTGTAATAAAATATACGTATAATGTGAACTTTTGCATTCGAGATTAATGATGTTTAATATCTTTGAGGCCTAAATACTGATATTAATTTACGAATTCGTGATTAATAATTTTTTTATCAATATTCAGCCAAATATTTATATTGTTGACTTCCGAACCCGAGATTCTCGGTGTTTAAGAATACAAGGAACGTTAAACATTATTTTGCCAGTTTTTTTTGGTCCAATTGCTGGTACGAGAATAAAATCGTTAACCGAAAATATTTTGGGGTTATTAGTTAAAGATTGTGTTTAAAAATGGGTGCCATCTTTTAAAAAAGTTTCTGCCATCTTCTCTATCAGGTCACGAGCTAATTTGCTTAAAGTGTATAACGCATAAAAAAAGTTCGTAAATCGTTATTTTTGGCTAGTTAACAATATCTGAAGTTTTGTTTATTGTTATTATGTTAAATAAAAAAAAATTAGATTTAAAATTTGACTTTGGGGAAACAATTATCCAACGTTTTGCCCGTTAAGACCGACAATATTGCCCGTTTAACAAAACAGGAACGAACGAAGCAGGCGCGCGTTTCTTCCGTCGCTACAGTACAAAATCAACTTATTAATTTGGAGCTACAAGAGTTGTTACAAATGAAATAACGCTATGAAACAATACATGTGAAAGTACATTTATTTCTGTTAAACTTATTACATTTTTTTCTTTTATAGACACTTAGTTGGTCAAGTCTTGAAAAAAACAACACGATATACTCCATAAAATGTTTTTCACATTGCAATACGAATGTGCAAATCTGTCTTTTAACAGATGGGTCGTTAATACCTGAATAACAAAAATGTTAAAATTTTTTCAATACAAGTGTATATATATATATATCTCCGAGAATAAAAGTAAAATAAACCCCTCAAACCAAGGAAAACAGTTTTCGAAACAATGCGTACAGTCCACAATATATATATATATATATATTCAAATTATATCAACTAGCAAAAAAAAATTAGGAATGTTTAGTTTTAAACAAATGTACCATCAACAAAATAATTAGTCTCGTAAACATTTAAAAAAGGTACAAGTCTGAGATTCTTTAAAAAAACAACTTTAAACACAATATAATCTTATCCAGATTACTTCAATACTCTCTTCGAACATGTTTTCTTATGTTTGTATATAAAACGCCAGACAAAATCTCCTCGACACGTTTTGAAATAACTTTAAACTCTAAGATAATTACATGGTACATCCCATGACTTAACATTACTTTTGTGTACATACTTTTTATGAAAACTTCAGCTGCAAAAATAAATAAAAAGGCCGTTTCGTTAGCAAGATCGAGTTAATTCCCTAGTTTTGAAAGACTTGTATTCAGATTCTGTGTTCAAATATCAACAGAATACTCTGTATAAAAGTACTATGTAAAAGTTACTCTCTCTGTCAATCATAAAAATTGCTTAATAATTTTATGTAGCATATTGATTCAGTAAAGGACAAGTAGATCAACGTTTATCTTACACATTGTAAAATATATCGATTTTCAGACCATATAAAAATATTTTCTTTAATTAATACATGGAATATTGTGGACAATACGAGTGGCCTTGGGTAAAAATTTCCCGATTATTAATTCCGAGGCACGTTTACTAGATTTATCTACACTACTGTCAATGTTATAGATTCCTTTTCATATATAATTATCACAATCTATCAAAGTTGTGTAGATGCATTTTGTCTTGTAATATATCCATGTATCATTATGGCTGAAAAATAAAAACCTCGTGTTCCATGAAATATTTCAAATCTGTTCTGATATATTACTTCCTATGGAAAAAATAATAACAGATGATGAAAATAAAATTTTCCATCCTTATAGTTTCTTAGCAATATTAAAATATCTAATTGAAATATAAATAATATAATCCAGTAAATCAGTGGTACTTAACCTTTTTTGCTCCATGCCCTACCTCCACACCTAAAAAAAATTTGATGCCCCCTTAATATAAAAACAAATTTGGTGTTGAAAAGGTATAATATATAATGTAAAATTTAGAAATTTACCAAAAAAATAGGAGTTTAATTAATAATACCGCTTTAAATTTACAATATTAGGTAAAAATAGAACAAATTCGAAAATTTCTCACCCTCAAGTTTGGTAATCTCAAGTCAGTGAGATCCTTGAATGTCATATTTAGGACAAATGAATGACATATTTAAAAACTGTATCAGACGACTCAGTTCTGAGTCACGGAACGTTTTTTGCTCTTCACACCCAAATGAAAACTTTCTTATTGCCCCACGTTCAGAACCACTGCAGTAAATAAAGTCTAACCCTAGAACTCTAATACAAATTAGTGAAGAAAAAACAACATATAAATGGAATAAACTATCAGAAGACCTTAAATTAGAGAGAACATCTAGTTTTCCTGCCACAAGACAAAGTAAAATTGAGGAGGACACAAGAATGTATCGAAACTAGTATTTTAATTTCGTCTTCTTATAGTTTGTTCCACTTACTGTTTTTTTTCCTAACGTTTTAACTGGTAAACACGATATTTATATCTAATAATAATTTTTCTTCTAGCCCCACCCAAAGCTGAAAAATTCTACGTTTATCAGGAGTTGTTTGTAGCACAAACGTTAATGAAGCTAAATGTTTGGAGTATCCTGAAGCACTGCTTTCATTCAAACACGAAACAAGTCTCTTAAAAAGTAACCCTAAGCACTGTGCATAATCCAAGATTTTCCCACAATACAAACTGCTTGTGTAACAATGAAAAATGAGGGTTAGTTTATTTACACCGAATAATAGGGTACTACGAAATACTATTTAAATGTTAAATTATTCCACATTAAAAAAGATATAGATAATACATTAATTGATATGTAAAATATAAAAATGTTTAGAATGACATAATAACCCTGACTTTAAATAAAAAGGGATCTGCAGCAGATGAAGGGACAATGTTTCCACTTTTACCCCCATTATTTCCATACTCAAAATAATAACTTTCAATATTGGACTGAGTAAAATAACATCTGATTCGACCATAATATGTACAAACAAGGACATAAAGAGGTTTGTGATAAGATTGATGGTACTTTCTGTCCAAAACATACTCATTTCATTTTTTTCTCAAATTTTAAGTACCACTTTGAGCTGGGTTAATGTTTGTCATAAAATAAATGACAGCATTTTTTGAAAGGTTAATCAAAAGAAAGTTGGAGATTGTCAAAACCAGGTTGTATGGTTAAAGACCAGGTTGTATGGTTATGGGTTCAATCACAAGAGCTAAGTAAAAGATGGAGAGGCCTAAAGAATTATGAAAAATAAACTTAGGAAACGTTACACACATAGAATATCTGCTACACTAGTATACTGACAATGAAAATTACAGTACAAGTTAAAATAATGAATGGAATGCATAAAACATGGCTTACAATTAATGTTACTTGCGACTTAATAATATCTGAAAAACACTGTTAACATGCAAATGCCAAGAAATACATATCATGGCAGCATTCACACTTTTCTAACCCTTACAAAAATACTGCTTTGTTTAATCAATAAAAATTGTACAATATTAATTTAAAGCAAATTAGTATTATTTTAGAAAAAAGAATAAACAGCACGGATAGTGAAAAGAGCTGGGAATGTAAATGATCTTATCCAAGTACATGTTAGAACGGATTTACAAACTATGATAAATAACGTTACAAACATGAGAATTTAAACGAAATGCTTTAAATAAATGGATAGATATTTAGTATGACTTCTTTGCTAACAATATCACACATCACAGAATACACATGTACATACAGGGTATCATTTGAACAAATACAACCATTATTATATTATCACAAACATTACAAAAACTGATGTGTATATACGTGAAAAATATGTTCTTTATCAAAGTTAAAACCTTCAGTAACGGTAAACTTTCTTGCATAACTGTTTTGATTAGATCTATCAAACTTAACTCTTCCTGCAGCTTGGTTATAATGTAGCTACATCATTATTCATCTTTCCATCACATTACAACACTGTGACAATGGGAAGGTGCTGTAAGCTAGCAGTATGACCATATTCACTGGTCTGGGTAGCTCAAATGCCAATGATAACAATGAAATGATATCCAAAAACAGTGAATACAAGACTGAAAACGTACAGAAAAAGGTAAATTAGTTTTACTACATGAAAAGGCTTATTTAAGTTTGCATGTCTTGCTTTAGTCCTATGTGCAGTAAGAGTTAAGTTTATTTTCACCAGGCAATGAAATGGAGATTACTACTTATTCCAACTGGAGACCAACAAGGGATAACATATCCAGTTACTACACGTGCTAATAAACCCATGATACTGGTACCCACTGATAGCTGGTATTCAGTGCATCAATGGCTTCTCTGAGCTGTTCATAGGTTTTGTCAAAGTTGTTATTCACCAAAGTTAAATCAAAGTATTTCTCATAAGCTCTCTGTAGTCTACTGCTCTCTTCAATGGTGTTCTTCAGATCTTCATCCTATACAGAATATACAATTCAATCTCTCTGAATAGCAAAGTTAAAAGTTCACTCAAAAAGACTTGAACTGCTTTCTGAAAGAAGTTCAAATATAAATTTCTCTGAAGTTTATTTTTCATTGGGGTAAGTTAATGGAACTAGTAAGAGCTTTAGAAAAATAATAGCTCAATAGAAATATTTGTCATATGCAAATGAACCTACATTTCCAAAACTTAATTATTCCCGTTAGGTTTCTTCAAAATATTTCCTCTCAAAACAAACTTGAGTTGTGGTAAAAGTTGTTCTACAAGTCTACCAACAAATAAATTATTGGTTTTGAGGGGATTATGCTAAGCATTTCCTTAGAAAAGTGTTCAAAGATTAATACAGAGTACTTTTAAACTAATGAAGCGTCCTCAAATTTGTATGACAACACAGAGGTAATAAAGATCTGTTTCATCTAATCAACAAAACACCTAGTGTAGTTTGTGTGGGTTATGAAATAAGTACCTAGTGTAGTTTGTATGGTTTATAAAATAAATACCTAGTGTAGTTTATAAGGGTTACAAAGATTTACTATCACATGTTACAGTACTTTCTGATTTGTGCTTTAAACATACGATGCAAATGTCAAAGATCAAGGTTACTTGTACATTTTAAAAATGAGCAAAGTTTTCTCTTTAACTGACAATGAGTTTTATCTGTATCTTTATCATTCACATTTTTTTAAAACCAGAGATTGCAAATTTCTAATAGGATGATTATTTTTAAAAAAATATTTCTTACTACTACTACTACCTAAATCCATTTGTTGTTGATTCTAAAAACAGCTTGCAATGGAGCCAGACATGCCAACTCTTGCACATTTGACTGCATATATTTTACCTAGGCCTAACATAATAACTTGATATGAAACATAACCCTAAAAACGTTGAAAGAAAACAACAACAATGATGAGCAACATTTATGAAAAGTTTGTGAATTCTGATAAAGTAAAGGCACTCATGTGAGCAAAATTCGAAACAATAGTGGCTATTTCTAAAATGTGTAGACATTCTGTGATTTAAAGGATACTGATGAAAAGTATAACAAGAAAATAAAATAAGACAAAAAATATTTTGATCTTATTATATTTTAAGTTTTGTTCTTGTAAGGGTTAGACATTCTTGTTGTCTTTTTAAATAATTAATTGCTTATTTAGGTAATATCAGTCAATTAATTGGCTTTATGGATAACAAAGTGATTATTAATTATCAAACAAATCAAATGACACCTCTAGTTAAAAACCATGCCTGAAAAATTTATAATTAACTGAAACGTTTTTTAAACAGATTTTTAGGGCACAGTTGACAAGTTTCATTTCCAAAGAACCAAATATAAAAATGCTTCAAGTATTAATAAACATTTTGTGTTCAAGTTTTACTTTTAAACTCTGATCCATTACATACAACTTTAAAAAATAAGTGCCATTCAAGTAAGAACTAGCCTAATAATTACATTAAAAAAATTATTAGGAACTGTTTAGAGACAACAAAAAGTAATCAGATGTTCTCAAAACTGACTTAAAAATTTTATTATCAGCTTTTTACAATTTAGCACATTTGTAGAGATTAAAATTTTATATACATATTTTACTATAAATCAAGGTGATATTTCTAAGACATTTTAGTTATTTTTATGCAATTATCTTTTCCCTTCAAAAAGCAAATTTTACAGTAAGACTGTTAGTTTTCAAATTTGCAGGTGGCAGTAAAACTGGTCATTTAAAAAAATGCAGTTCTAATCGTTCTAGAAAAACTAACTGGTTAAATCTGAGTCTAAAGAAGCTTTAACTTGTCAAGTCTCACACCTTGAACACACTGGTGTCTTAATTTAGACAGAATTAACACATCCATTTCCTACCTCATACAGGGAAGCCAAACTCTCCAGAGTCCTTGCTCGACGAGATCCGTGGCGTCCCATAGCCCGATCAAACTACAGAATGGTGAAATATATGAAAATAAATGGAAATTATCCAATCCAACTAGACAACTGTAAAACAGTATTATATGAATGTTCACTTCAGCAGAAGTTTTAATAACAGATGACTGTAAAAACAAGCCTAAATTTTTTAAAATATATATGGAGTGTTTGATCTTTAATCGCTAAGATCCTCAACAGCTAATTCTTTGGTGACAATGAACTTTAACTGAACATTTCACATTTTTCTAGATTGTTTTTTTTTACAGGCACACACACCCACCCAAAAATGAATTTACACATAAGCTTATGTCAACTCCACTATATCAGGATAAAGAAGACAATGACATGAACATATTTTTTTAAACAGCACATTTATCATAGAATACAAAGCAAAGATTACCACAGAGGAGTTTTTGTTGCAAGATTCAAACAAAACATTGTTAGAAAGATAAATACTAATTATTCATACAGAACAGCCCCAAAAATAAATATGAAATTTATTTCCTCCTCATCTTCATTTTAAGTTCAGTACCCTTTCTCTGTTTACAAGTTTGCAAAAGTGTAATTTTTTTGTATTATTTATCTAATGCCTTTGCTTGACATGAAAATTATTGAATAAAAGAGGCATCACTAAAATCTGATAGTTTTATTTTGTTAACATTTTATGATGATGGAAAACTTCCACTGGCCTTTAACTTAAAGCCAATTTCACAACATTAGTACTTGACCATTGACTTATGAAATTACTTACCGTAAGACTCCTGGTACTTGTGTAGCCATGGTTACGTCCATAGAAATGCATTTGCTTCAAAAGTTCGGCATGAGGTGCTGAGACGAATATGACGTATGGCATAAACTCGGGTGTTTTCAGCAGTTTCAGAGACTAAAAGAACAATTATTAAACCTTATATAGAAGATATGATTTTAAGTTTAAGAAAATAACTAGAACTAAAACTATAAGAATTACAAAAAAAATCTCAATTTCTTTTGTAAATTGTGCCAAGCAAAAGTAACAAAAACTGGAACAGTTTCTGTTTCAAGCTAAAAGAATGAATTTATATATCAATATTATCCTTAAATAGTAAGCAGCACATTATCACAAAATTCAGAGTAAAAACAAAAGTTTACAAATACACAACATTAACACTAAGCAAAATGTGTTACTTGATTATTTTACAATTTCACATTCTGGAATGAAGACATTACCTGAGGGTTGCAATCCATTATACACATCTTTCCTGAACGAATAATTGCACGAATGGAATCAAGTTTTGTCCCATAGATATGCCCTCCATATTCTCCCCACTCCAAGTACCTGTTTTCGGCAATATCTGCCTCTATGGCTTCTCTGGATACAAAGAAATAACTTTTTCCATCTTGCTCTCCATCTCTCTTTGGTCGAGAGGTATCTATTAAATAATCGTTAAATTGTGTAATAATATTTTTACGACTTCTAATGAAATTTGTTTTACTTAACTAAAATTAGAGACAAACAACGAGCAACTTTATTAAAGACACATTTGGCTGCAAAAATACTCAAAGATTTAAAAAAATGGCTAAAGAAAGGAACATTTCCAACAGCTCTTCTAGTATGTACAATATAATTTTCTTTAGTCTTTTGGTGTTCTCATCAAAATTTGTAGTACGTTTTAGAAAACATTTCTTTAAATGAACACTGCTAAAATGGACAATCATGTACATAATACAGAGATGTAAAAAATGCACACCATATTATTTGTTCTATTCTTACAGCTGTTCTAAATGTGCATCATTAATATCACAACACAATGTTACAACAGGATCATTCTTCAACCTCTTTTAATGGTTTATCTAATTTCTAGTCATTAAACATTAACAAAAAAGCCATAACCCACCTAATATATGAAATGAGTCAACTCTGTACTGCAAGTAGAGATCGTTACGAGGAACTATCTATTACCGAGATCGTTACAAGGAATTATTTATTACCGAGATCGTTACAAGGAATTATCTATTACAGAGATCGTTACAAGGAATTATCTATTACCGAGATCGTTACAAGGAATTATCTATTACCGAGATCGTTACAAGGAATTATCTATTACAGAGATCGTTACTTGGAATTATTTATTACCGAGATCGTTACTTGGAATTATTTATTACCGAGATCGTTACTTTGAATTATTTATTACCGCATCACTAAAAATAGAGAACAGTTACAGAACAAGAAAAAAAAATTCTTTCCAAATTTACAAGTTCTGAACACACAACAATATGTCAAGCATTAATGTCACATAAAAATAGGTAGAAAAGAAAATACTTACGAGGCAAGGGGAAAGCGAAGCGCGAGGGATCAGAACTTATCAACCTGTTTTTTAGAGAACGCCTTCCTACTCCTTGAGCACCAATCAGAATAATACTTTTACGCTCAAATGGGGGCATTCGAGCAACTTCCTCATACAGAGTTAGTTCTGCTTTGTCATATTCTAAAATATACAATGTGTATTTCATTATGAAACAACCCCTTAACTAATGATAAATTTCAGAAACACAGTTTAAAATTATCTGTTATATATTTTGATTCGTGGATTGAATGTCTCCATATAGTAAGCTTTTAACATTAAAAGATATATAAAAAAACATTTAAAATATGTATGAATTGTTTACAATTTAACAAAGATTTTAATGAAGACTGGAAAATGCATTTAGGAAAAATATAAAAAACATGAACTGTTACTCTAAATAATGGATTAGTCATAATTCTATAATCATGAATTGATTTTTGTCAGTACACAGGCATACTAAGCTAATCATCAGGGCAAAGCTTTAATGGCAAAATGTTGGCTTACATGATTTGTAGTAACGGGCGATGTTTTCTATAGGATTTTTACTTTGGTTGGTAAATAAGGACCTGAGAAAGTAAATAACTAAAGACCTTTATACTTTAAAAGTCATACAGAGACAGGTGGGTGTTAAACCAAATCAGTAGAAATGTTCAGTCTACAGTGTTACGTGACCTTTGGTTCTGGGAAAACTGTTTCTGACATGTCATCAGGCTTTACTTGAAATTGAATTTCTACAGTTGAAGCTTTACATTTCATTACTGTTTACAAATTATCCATAAATGCTTTTGTTTTAACTACTGCTATATTTCCATTTATGCAATTTTATGAAAAACATCCTATAAAATCCACTTAAATCATTTTTTGCATCTGAATAGTAATTTCAACTAAAAATTAAAAGTCATTTATTTACCAGCATTTCCTTTAGTGTGATACATGGTTTTTCGTTTCTTCTTTGTAATCTTTGTCCCGCACATTGCTAAGAGAAAGGAATAACTTAAGTATCTTTTTCCTTTTTATTAGAATCTCAGTATCTCACTCACAAAAAATCATCCAAAACATCATCTTTAACTCGAGTAATTATCTTTAATGATCAATTAATATTATTTCCAATAGTCTTCAATTTGAAACTGAACTTAATTCTTTTTTTTTCTAATCAACTACACATGCTATCCTAAATCGCAAGTATTTCATGCTTGAACTCAATTCTGTTGAAGAATGAAATGTAAAACAGCATACAGATAATGTCTTATAATGTAGATTTTACATATAAAAACCCAAATGCTCACTTGATTTTGTGGCATAGTCATATTCTGGACGTACAAAAGCACGTCGTCGTTCTTCCAATTCCTGAGAGGGAACGAGTCCAGTTAGGCCAAGAGAACCAACTTTACGAGCCTAAAACAATGAGAGCATATGCAAGGTATTTTAAACAAAATGAAGTAACGAAAAGAAATGGTTATATAACATCAAACTGTAATTATGCACTTTATCCATCTCAAGAAAATTTTAACAAGATATTTAGAGACTATGAAGAATGCTTCTTTAGTCACTTTAGTATGTGTGCGTGTATATAATGGAATAATATTAAAAATCCTTGCAACCCACATTATATCATGCTGCATCAAAACCTAATTTTTAATGTTATACAAGATTTAACTTCTTAATTTCAAAAGGAAATATTCAAACAAATTCTTAATCTTCTCTTCTCTGTAGCACGTGGAACTTCTTTGCTCTGATTGGCAATTTTAGACTATTTTTTACCCTTATATGATCTTCCGAGTTTTGCATAAATTACAAAATTATTGTATAGATGTTATTAAGCCAACATGTAAATTTATAACCTCCAATCTCCTTGCTTTACCGAGATATAAATAAAAAAGTCAAACCTACATGCCAGCCCCTTCCATCACATCCAGTCTTTCAAAAATGTCAATAATTATTTCTGATATTTACCATTGGATTACTTATAAACAATAGAAAAGGAATATCTTCTTTTACTGATTTCATTATGAGGCTAGTTCAATCAGACAGTTTGGAAATATTTGACCTCAGTTTCATTGTTTGCCGCTGTGTTGTTTGACTTGACCAGCTAATAGAATTTTTTAAACTCAATTATAGCTGTTAAAAAGCTAGTTAAACTATAATAGCTTTAAGACATTAAGTTTTTTGTCAATGATAATATTTTGTATTTCTAGCTGTATATTTGAAATAAAAATAATTAATACTTATTTGTGGAAAGTAGGCTTACAATTCTTCATCTTCTACTGATAAAAAAAGAAAAAGTCCAGATGCAAGTACTAAATTCCTTGTATTTGTTATAAATATATTTTTAATTATCCTTATGAAAGTAACTAATATGTAAAAATTAGAAACTCAAGTTATATATAAAAAAAAAGTTGAATAAAAAAAAAATATACTTGTTATTCTCTGTCATAGTGCATGCATATCCCAAAGCATGATTTAGTAATATGACTGTGACTTGCTTGTAATTGATCATTTGTTTATACAATGCTGTCCATATGAAAAACGTGGATTTTGGCATTTTTCTACTTTTTATTTAACCATACATTGCTAAATTTACTACACTTAAATGTTAGGGTAGAGAAAATAAAAGATATAATTTAAAGTTTTATTGAAAAACTTTTGATATTCATTTAGTAGGTTCTAGAGGTTATGCAAATGAACTATGAAAACTGCAAGATGAAAAAAATATTTTTTATCCTTAACATCAAAATCACCTTGCACTTGTATTGACTCAGTAAAGGTTTTGTAAATTCACAGACAAATCCTCAGTAAAAAAAATTCACTAAAAAAACTTTCTTTTGTGTGTGTGTGTGTGTG